CTCCAGTGTTTCTGAGCACCAGAGGTAGTTAGAGATCTCAATGAGTTGGAGCTTTCGATAGAACACCGGATCCTGCAGCTTCCTCCGCCCACCTCAGCTGCCATAGGCTGGGAGGAAGACTGCAGAGCTGCTACTGGCTGCAAGGACAGCACGGGAGAAGCAGGACACCTGGGACATGGAGGATACATTGCTTTTTTCTGCATTACACTGCTGGCCTCTGTACTCTGCATCACACCACTGGCCTCTGCACTCTGCATTGTTACTGATCTCTGTTCTCTGTGTCACACCACTGACCTGGCGGAGTTAAGGGCGGGGCACGGTAGGGGTCAGGTGGGGCGACTGGTGGCGAGTAACTCTTAAGGCCTGGCTAGTAGCTCAGGACTTGAAATTTTGAGCCCTGATCTATGGTGTCATCTCATCTAATGCAGTCCAGTAGACATGAGAACGCCGAGGGATATACCACAGCCGGGGTGGAGAAGGAGAAAGAGGAGTAGTCAATGCCTCAGGGCTGAGAATGGGGTGAGTATTTCTTCTTTATTTTTGCCTCTAGACCAAAATAAGCAGTTAACCCTTGCAACGAGGGGTTGCTCCCTGGTTGGTCAATATGCAAAAATCCTGCAGTTCTTCTTTAAAGGTTTGTGATTGGCTGTCTTTGAAAATCACAAAACTCTAAGGACAGGAATTCTGGCAATCCAATCACCGGCAGCTCAAAAACTGACTTGCAACATTTTCTGAGAAAGCTGCACAAGGGGAAGGTGATCAATCCCTTTACAAAGAGTAACAAAGACATGTCTGATTATAATTTAAAGAAACTCCATGAGTTGATCCACTTGCCTTTTGATCAAAGCCAACAATGGGCTAATAAACGCAGTTCATTACCTTGTGACACATGTCATAAAATGGCCCTGATAATGAGACTTTATTTATACCCTTAGTTTATTATGTTGCATGTGTAGATAGTTTGCTACTTGAATGAACAGATTGCAAAATAGCAATGTTAATCGATGGGGTCATGATTCCCAATATCATAGACTGCCACAGAATCAAGAACCTTCTGATTAAGTCACCAGCCATGCTGACAAAGTAACTATTGACTTGCTGCTAGAGTGATTGTGCCATGTGCAAATGCATCCTGCTTGCATTGCTTTGAATATTTCAAACAACTTTTGTAAAAAAAAACCCCATAAAGAAATGGGATGCACCGATACCGAGTATTTGGGTGAGTACTCGTACAGACAGCCAGCTCGATGCTGATTGGCTGGCTCCATGTTTCCCAGCCAATCAACATGGAGCCGGCTTCCGGGGAATAAGGCTGCCGGGCAGCAGGTAATGACACGCTGCAAGGCTTCCTGATTGTCCGGGAAGCCGGTTCCATGCTAGATTGCTAGTGGAAGTACCAGCGAATACCAAAAGATAAATATTGGTACTCGTACTCGGTACTGAACTAACGATATCAGTGCATCCCTAATAAAGAATTTATTAGATCCCCTAAAGATTTTTTTTTTCACTGGACACACATGCTCTATTCTCTGCAGACTTTACAACGCCTGTAAAATCTTATGTAAAGTTACCAGATATCTATGGAAGAAGGACACAATCAGACCAGGAATCACGGTCCTTGAACTCAAACAAGGTCAGATAAGGAACTACAGTCATGAAGAAGGTCTATCTAGCAATGTGGTAATTTGAGAGAGAACAAAAGGTGCTACAATACATATAAAAAAAATAAACAAATACCATAATAAAGGAAGGCCTCGCAACACTTGAACTTAGCTTATTCTACAACACATGGCAACAAAAACTGAAGAAGTGGCAGTGCCACCAACAGTCCACTTCAAGAAAATGTATCTCCAAAAGTAAAGAGATTATTTTATGTCATAAAGACTCCGTGGAATAAACCAAAAATGGGCACAGCAGTGGTGCCATCATGTTTTTGATATAGAGCTAAGGAGGTATACCAGGCAAACTAAACCACCTTTAGGGGTTTTTGACAACTGCAAGAAACAGCCCGCCTCCCTAATTAATGAAAAACTATTTATAACAGAATTAACTTGTGGCTATCAATTTCAACTTTAACCAATACCCAATCGCAATCAAGGTTATTGTCATACCAATGGAAGTATATATGCACTCTATGCCTTGTTAAAATCAACCCTTTACCAGGGAGAGTGGTTAGAGATGGATAGGAGGGGTTAGATGTTGATTTAACTTTGAAGTTTGAATATCAGTATCAGCAGTTGTTCAGTCAGCATGCATGAAAAGAAAAAAAGAGAAGATTGCGCTTGAAACAGATGCTTGATTTGATTATGTTTACTATGAGCAACAAAAGCTTCACTTGAAATAAAGCCTCCAACAGCAGTCAGTCTATAGAAGGTATTCAGAAAATAATCTACAGTTAAATTATTACTCACTGGTATCACAGTTTATAGGTCAGATTAATGTGCGTGCTTATATGTGCTAACCAATGGTCTGGATTTAAAGAACACCCTAAGTATTAACAAAAACTGCAAAATGAGACATAAAAGCATAACAAAGTTCTGATTGCAAACTTTTACTGTAACCATGAAAACATCTTATAAAAGAAACTGGATTGACTGTGACTCCATTTATGTCCGATTTATAAAATCTTATAGTCATTTACTTGGTGCAATGGAAAGTTTGAATTCAGGTACACCAGCAGGATAGTTCACTATGCAGTCACTCCATGACAGATTTCAGACAAGACTTTACAACAACAACAAAAAATGCAGCAATATTCCTTACCCTTTAGATGTAAACAGCAAGGTCCCTTTTCTGCACGTTACTTGTCCACTTATTCAATTAACTTTGATTAGTCATTTCTTTGAGCCCTGCAAAAAGCAAATCCCCAAACTGTTACTTTGTAGCTACAATTATCTCTGTGTACTGTATCTTACAACACACAAAAAAAGTATTTCTTATTACAATAATGACATAACTTCCCTGTGTATAATCAAGAAGGAAGGATGCCATCAGCAAGCCAAGAGAGATCACAGTTATTCACCAAGCAAATTCCCAATGAAAGGGGGCCTTTCTCCACTGACCTTCAATATAAAGGGGCATATCTCCACTGAAACCAAATTGTAGGAGGCCCTTCACTCAGAATTAAGGTGCCCATACACTGCACGATTCTTGTACGAGAATCGCGTCAAATCCCGCGATCGTACGATAATCGTGCAGTGTATGGAAGGCGTGGAACCATTTCTACTGTACGGTCGCATGTCTTCCGTCGAACAAGCATGCTAGAAAACCCGCCGGGAATCGTACGATTCTCGGCGAGTTAGTGGCCTGCTGGTTTGACAACTGCCGAACGGGGCGGTGTGCGCACACTGCCCGTTTGCAGTCATCGTAAGCCCGCCCCTCATTACAGTCATCGTAAGCCCGCCCCTCAGGGGGGCGGGCTAGCGATGATCGCAAGTACGATTTGCCTGTCCAAGATGGGCAGATCGTACGTTTTTTTAAAGTACTTTACAACCCTCGCAAGACAAAAGTCTTGCGAGGGTTGTAAAGTGTATGGGCACCTTTAGAAATTAGATTCCTTGCAAAGTTCAGGTAGGGGATTGGAAAATCTTTTAGCAGCAGCTGCATTGGATTAAAAGTAACTAGTCCTCTTTTCTGATGCTAATCCCTTCATGGATCAGACTAATGTATACCTTTCAGCTATGTGACTAGATAATTGAATTTACCTGTTATAGTCCTGCAAAGAGTTCTTTCTGTAATTTGTTTATGCAACATGAGTTACAAAATGTAATACAAAACGATTATACAGGGCTGAATGAACAAAACAAGCTCTAATGGTTCTGATATTGCAGCAATCCACCATATATACTTATTTTACATCTATGTCAAATCTGATTTGATTGAATATGTAAACTTATTTGATAAATGACTTGGAAACTGTCATGCAAACATGACTCACCACAATTAACAAAGAGAAAATCTCATGCAAATGAAAATGCTGGATTTTTGCTAAATTCAGTCTGAGAGTCGCTCACCTTTTCAATGCCAAGATTTCTCACTGCTTGACAAACATGATTAATATGCCAATTACCGAGGCCTGTATTTTGTCATTTCCTCCTGTTGCTGCCTGTAGACTTTGCTGCAAACCAATTCCTTTTGTTAATGTCTTATACCAAAACACATCAATAGCCGCTGCTGGAATTTCTCAATTTGCCTACAAAAAGGTTCTTGAGCTTTTAATACAATCAATACTATAACAAGAGTCTATTTTCTATAAAGCTTTCTGTTCCGCAGTTCCGCAGCATCATGATATTGCAAAACAGAGAGTTTCACTTGTAAAAGGTGGTTATTGTAGAGTCATTGAGGTTGATTTACTAAAGGCAAATAGACTGTTCACTTTGCAGATGAAGTTTCCCTTAGCTTAGTGAATGCAACAGATTTTCACATTTCAAAGAATACCCAATCACATCCAAGGAAAATAGAAAAGAGTACTTTTACTTGCACATGATTAGATGATGGAAGTCAGCAGAGCCTCACCTCTTTCACTAAGGTGGGGGAAAATTCCCCTGTAAAGTGCAAATTCCTTTGCAAAGTGAACATCCTATTTGCTTTTAGTGAATCGACCCTAATGAGTCATATTTATGGTGTGTGTAGATAAGCAAAAACAGCTAATATTTACGTGCATTGATTTTGGTTTTGAGATGCTTATGTAATTTTTTTGGGTTCCTAAAGAGTTGCTACTGACCTTCTTCTAAGCAGAACTAAGCTACTTTGCATCCCCACTAACTAGTATGGGAAGAAAAGCAGTTCTAACATGAACAAATGCCAATGTACACAAGCCCTAGTCGTAGATGATGCCCCTAACAACCATATTTAAATGTGGACTCTCAAAAGTCATTTTCCAGTGCAGGTTAGAAACTGGTTGCTTTAAAGTGAAACTAACCTCAGGAGTTAAATCTTAAAAATACATTCAAGTACCTCAACTATCTTATTTGTGTATCACTCGCCTGTAGATCCTCAAATCATCTCTGAATTGGTGCTGACTTTTGTTCCTCATGGAACTCCAAGTTCCCTCCTGTTATGGACTACAAGTCCAATACAAGTTAGAAAACTAAACGTGAGATTGTACTCCATCACAGGAGAGAGCTTGGGGTGGTGGCTACTTTATAACACACACAGGGACCATGGGGAACAAAAGTAGCCACCCTCCAGAAGGAAGGACAGTGTCAGCACCAAATCAGAGGTGATTGGAGGATCTACAGCTGAGTATTTTTGTTAATAGTTAAAGGAGAACTATGGGGTAAGTGTTTTTCCCCATAGTTCTCTTAAGGGTCACGGGAGGACATATACTAGCCAAAGCTAGTGACCCAAAGCTCAGCATACCGCAAGCTACAGCTCACGGTATACCGAGACCACCGCAGCCGACATTACTGTCGAGATCCACCCAGCTGCGTGAGTGACAGTGGGCTCTGCCTATCTAGAGGCAGAGCCAGCTGTACCTGCCCCCTCCCCCGTCCGTTCCTCCAGTTAGCACTGGAGAATCGGACATGGGAGGGTGGGATCCCATCCCTGCAGGGAGCCGTGAGTGACAGTCACGGCTTTCTGCAGGAAGATGATCGAGAAGTGAGCGAGCGACAGTATGTGTTCGCGTTCTTCCCGATCTATTGTGACAGTTTCATTGTCCGGCTTCGGCTCGAACTATGAGGTTGAGTGAAAATCACTCACCTCATAGTTCTCCTTTAAAGGTACTTAAATGCATTTTTAAGATTTACCTCCAGAGTTTACTGTCACTGTAATAAAAAGTGACATGTATTTTTTTTTTTTTTTTTAATACAACTAGATCAAGTCCCTCAATATGAATTGCAATCCTCTGTCCAGCAACACACTGTGAACCAATCGTGTGTGTGCTACATGCAAAGGTGCTGGCAAGGAACATTATGATAGGAGGAGGGAGCAGAGAGATAACCTAATCAGTCTTCTGCCCTTTCACTGTCCAGTCAAGGGGGGTGGGGTAATGACCTCTCCCTGTATACCTTAAAGGAAAATCCTCTTCCATTATAAAAACAAAATAGCACATACAGCTGCTTAGCATGCCACTTCGCAATTTAATGCAATTAAAAATGAACTTTCCATTTAAATTTTCTGCCGCTGCAATTTTCGAAAACTGTCAAAAAATTGAATGCAATATGACAACCTGGAGGCGTTCTGTACACATGCCCCCAGAAATGTAATTTCCTGTTTGTGTGATTGTTTCACTGATTTTCTCAGATGTCTGCACTTAGATACAAGTAAAGTGTTAAGGTGCCCATACACTGCACGATTCTCGTACGAGAATCGCGGGAAATCCCGCGATCTCGTACGAGAATCGCGGGAAATCCCGCGATCGTACGAGAATCGTGCAGTGTATGGAAGGCATGCGACCGTTTCTACTGTACGGTCGCACGTCTTCCATCGAACCAGCATGTTTGAAAACCCGCCGGGAATCGTACGATTCTCGGCAAGTTGGTGGCCTGCTGGTTCGACAACTGCCGAACGGGCCGGTGTGCGCACGCGCACACTGCCCGTTTGCAGTCAGCGTAAGCCCGCCCCTCATTACAGTCATCGCAAGCCCGCCCCCTCAGGGGGCGTGGCTTGCGATGATCGACAGTGGAATCTGCCCGTCCAAGATGGGCAGATCGTACGTTTTTTTAATCCCTTTACAACCATCGCAAGACTAAAGTCTTGCGATGGTTGTACAGTGTATGGCCACCTTTAGGCATCCTCTGCAATAGGAATTTCAGTTTTGGTGAGATACTCTCTAAGGCTTGCCTAGTAATGGGATGCAGATACTGCAGCTCTCCTCATCTGAACACTGAGATTTGCTCAGGTGGTTATAATGAAACCAAACCTTCCATTTAGGAATATGACTGGAAACGACATAATGAAATAAACAGCAATTTCTTGATAACACAAAGCAGGAATCACTCGGATTTTTTGAAGCAGATAAAGTGGAGTTACACTTTAACTGAAAGAAAAAAAGTGGTGTCAGCTGCCTGGTGGCTGTGCCATGTGACAGGGCTGTGTAAAACTGGATGGACAGAAATACAAATCATTTGTCAGATATGACTATTCCCTTGCATGCATTTATCTGTTTGCCTGAAGTTAACAAATGAAAGGTATCCAGATAAAAAAACAAAATGGTCTCTGTGATTTATTCCAGCAATATCGCCTTCAAATTTCATTTCTTACCAAATACACCATCAAGTGCTGGTTTGGGGACCTCTGTATTGTCTGCAAGTAACATTCTGTAAGTGGAAATGCACTTTAACTGTAAATAGCAGTATCTATTTCCCAAGTTGAACTGAACAATCTGATATCCGCTCAGCTACGGAATCATTGTGAACTACTTTCCTCTGACACAGGAATGGGAATAAGTGTCCACTACAGGCAGCACTGTGTATACAAATATTGCGCTTCCCCAGCCAACGAGCACAGAAAGGCAATCTTCACAAAGTGCTCTTTACAGGAATCAGACACAGGGATTTTCAATTACGAAAAAAGCAGCATCTGAAGTGGTTGGTAGGAACTTGATACTACAAAAATCCAAAGACCTAACCGTTTGTGAAACACTCCTAATCCTGTGTGCATGGTCATTTCAAGTCAATGTGCAATTCAACTCAACGCTACAAACTAAACATTTATCAGGGGTGACGGTACCTACGTAAAGTATGGCAACTAAAGTACAGCCATTCTTATCCTAAAATGATATGTAATGTGAACAATATCATGCAACAAACCCCTTAATACCAGCTATAGTGATCAAATAGGGGGTTTTATACAAGTAGCAGCAGTACAAGTTTAAACTATCCACAACCAGATTTATTCCATTTCC